CAACATCAAATACATGACGCATATTAGTATGATGAGTATAATATAGTGAAAATAATAATGTTGAGAGAATTGCCGATAACAGTCAAAACGATAATGATTGGCTTAATAATTTGTGATAGTTATGTAGAAAGATCTACGAGAGGATAGGCGGCGGAACGATTTCACTCTAGAGTAGACTCAACTTTTCAGACAAACCAGGTCTGTTCACGTAAAAAACTAGAGTTGAAATCAGATTAAAATCGGGTAATAGCCGATAAAAAATGGATTGTCTTCCTACGATTTTGATCAATTTTTAATCATTTTTTAACCGATTTTTATTGAAAATAACCGAAAAAAATCAAAATTTCATTGATTATTACGATTCGTTCTCGTTAAAACGTTATAAAAAATTAATAAGATTGATGCAAACCGGTAAAATTCGCGTGAAGACTTTCATTTATCAAAAAGAAAAATCTTTTTTTTATGAAACTTTTATCGATTTTAAATGGAACTAATCGTAATAATCAATGAAATTTGGCTTTTTTTTCGGTTATTTTCAATTAATATCAGGTGAAAAATGATTTAAAATTGATTCAGGTCATATGATTATAATCGATTTTTAGTTAGTTTATAATCGATTTTAATCTTATTTCAACTCGAATATATTTACATGGATGGGAGCGATTCGAAAAATAGTTTTCTTCATTTGTTTATAATGTTGAGCGTTATAGGTTTTTGTTGATAGATTTTAATTCCTTATAAGTGTGTGTTACGGTGTATTCTTATTACATACACCTCGATTCTATCTATTCTCTTTTCTTCTATATTTTCGTTTCCATTCTTTTCTTTGACCTTGTTTAACCTTTCTATTCTTTCTACTTTTGTCCTTGTTTTTCATGTACGTATATAAACGTTTGTTTTTTTAAAGAATAAACAGAGAGAGAGAATAAACCACACACGCACGTTAGCTGTGTTCGTCGCTCTTCGTGAGCGTGAACGCTAACAGTGTGATAACTATCTAATGCGTTATTGTTTCCAGACACAACAGGTACTAACGAAGTAACTTAAAAAGACTGTTTAAAAAGCAGTAAAAGAGAAGTCTAAGAAGAAATAATGCTATTCAACACCAAAATATTTTTTCTATCTTGATTCTTTGAAAGGAAATCAGAATAGATGCTTGATCAAGTTGATGTCAAGGTTTTATAGTTTTAACAATGACATTTTTGCATTTAATCCTGTTTCACCTTAACTATCGTTTGAACTGATCGATACAAGTTCAACAGAAGATGAATTTTCATCAAAACTGTTCTTAGCCGTTTGTTGTTTTATTGTGAAAGAAAGACATAATCTGATTTTATTTAGCTGGTATCGGCGTACGAAAGGAGTAATGTTATTCAAGTGCCTAAAATTCAAATGTTATTTTAAATAGAAATCTACAAAAAACAATTCATCCGTCTTATATTAAGAACCAAGAATCCGATGACGATATAGATGCCAACGAAGACTAATCACTACCTCACTGGATGCGAGTTAGCCGTAAAAAAAATATGGACTCCTTGTAAAAATGCGTTATCTGTCAAACGAATAGGAAGACTAAACAATAAGAGTAAACGTTTATATTTAACTGAGTCTATCCTAGCCTTGGTCTGTCCTAGTTTCAGACTACCGAAACCTACTATCCATCAACGTAGGGTAGGCTTGAGTCTATTCAGGCCTAATGGCTCCGCCGTCTGTCGTTATTTTGAATAGAAGTTTAGAACAACAGTTAAATTATCTTATATTATATTGAAAATAAAGAATTCGATGTAGATATAGACGTCAACAAAAACCAATCAGTATGCCACTGAACACGAGTTTGTAATAGATAAAATGTGGGCTGACCTTGTAGTAACGCGTCATCTGTCAGGAGAACACGAAAATTAATAATATTAGAAAATTTTTACATTAAATTGAGCCTAGTCAAGCCTTTATCTGTACTGGTTCGAGCCTACCCAAGCCTTTACCTCTCCAACCTAGGGTAGGCTCGTGCCTACCCAGGCCTCGTGGCTCCGCCGCCTATGTCTACGAGAATGTCATTAATGGTTTTTTTTATATTTAACTGTAGCTTTAATAGTTTTAACTTCCACGAAGTAGTATTCTTTATGTTTATAATTATAATAACAACTTTGTACAGCTCGATATTTGAAAGTGACAACATTTACTCAGACTGAACCATATAAACTGATAACTCTTCCATTATGAATGTTATGTTTGAGTATTCGAATAGAAACCACTCATGAATGAAAATTTGAGCTTTCGTCTCGTTTCGAAAGACATCATGAAGAATGACAAGTAAAAGATGATCCTAATTTTCATATTCTTCGAAATGTCAATTTTCTTTCAAATCAAAATCGTCTATCGTTTCTTGAAAGTTCAGTACTTTGCAATATTTCATGCGGATTTAAAGATAATATTGAGAAAAAGTAGTAACGTTTAATAGTGACTTTATACTATCTAAGAAGAATGCGAAAATGATTTATTTGTGTTACACAATGATTTCGAGTTTGACAAATACAATTGATTCAGGTCAAATCTTCAATATTTCATTGTAGAAAATTAGAGTTTGCATATTTTAGACAATATATACATCCAAATCTTTCAAATGTTCTATTATATTCTCGAGACTTTTTCCATCAAGAGTCTGAAAATAGCATTTAACCCGTTTTGTTTGTGTGCTTGGCTCTCTACAGTACATTTTTTTAAAGCCCCTCTCTGCTTAATGGTGTACAGTATGATTTTTACTTTCCGTATTTCTAGAACTTTTTTTTTATTGCGTTTCTTTTTCAATTTTCTCTTGAGATTGGTTAACGATTGGATGTTGTGTTATTTTATTTTATTTGTGTATTGCATCTATCCAGGTCGACAGTGTGTGGATTTGAAGTTGACTCTGCACACTCATCAATCACAGTCACACCCCGCTGTTCACTGTCATTGTTACTGATTATCCCTCTTTCAATAAATACATATATCTGTTTTAGAAAAGAGAATTAGAGTACCATCAACATGTGAGATGGATTTGCGTGTGTTTGTAGATATTAATCTCATACAGATATCCAATTTTATCAAGATTCAAAACCTGAGTTGCAAATCAAATTCTGTTTTGACAATATGCATTTTGAACTGTTTTGGCAATGGATGACAAAAAAAAGGATTCAAGCACTTTCGGTTTCCATGCTATAGTCCTCGACATTTTGTAATGTCATAAGTTAGATTATGTCAACCATTGCTATCAAACAGATCCCATTCGTTTGAAAGCAATTGCTGATTTCGAATACTGTCTTCACGTTCCCTTCGACACCGATCAAAACTTTTGATTTTGCATTCAAATTGGTTGATAAACAACTAGCTGAAAACACTTTACGAATGTAAATATTTCGAGTAGGCTCTGTCACTATGACCATATCCTGCCATAGGGTGTGTACGTATAGATTTGAGTGTGGGGATTTGAATGCGCATGTAGATATGGCTGTGTAGGCGTGATCTTTCACTCCAGGTGCACCCCCATCCGCAGATAATAACCTTGGTTATGGAGAGAATTCAATATAATTATTTTCACTATATAGGAGTACATTTATATCTAGAATCTTTCAGATTTAATAATAGATTTTATGCTACATGTCCACCAGGCACGAAAGCAGAAAAGATATTAAATATTTTGTATTGAATTCACAACGTCTCAAGATAACATGGAGTATTAGTTACACAGTTCGTAGCATAATTATTTAATCAATGTATAGAATTAATAAATGACGATGCTAAATTTGCTGATGTATAGAGAATTGAAAATGTGTAGTTTACTGAAAAAAAAAAGTTCCATGGAAAGTAATTAATACATCATTAAAATTAGAAAAAGAAATTGCAAAAACAAATATGGGAAAATTTTTCGAAAGAAAGATTTGCAAAAAACTAATGAATGAAATACCTTATCAATTATTATTGGTCATAGAGAACAATATAGAGCATGTTTATATACATTGGCTTTTATGATAATTTTGGGTGTGGGTGTGTGGGTGTGTGGCTGTTGGTGTGTGGGTACGGCTGTGGGTGTGTGGGTGTGACTGTGGGTGGGGGTGCAGTGTGCGGTGTAGCTGTGGGTGAATAGTACACCCACACCCACATCTACCCACACCCACATCTACCCACACACCCACACCCACATCCTCACACCCCACCCACACCCAAACAGTTATCCACGTCGCATCCACAGTCACAACCACCCACCCCACCCACACCCACCCACAGCCTAAATCTCGAATAAATAAATAAATCCCGTAGAAGAAATAAATCCTGAAAAAATAAGTCCCGGTAGCCCCTCACCCACTCAAACCCACGTCCCACACCCCACACCCATACCCAAATCATTCAATTTATCGAATCAAATTCTAATTTTTTCTTTTTATATTTTAGAATGATTTTGACGATACAAAGTTATACAATTCAACTCAATACAAGACAATAAAAAAATGTAGGCATCAATTTTTTTTTTTTCTTCTTTTTTTCTTTATTGGATCATACAGAAGGTGGTAAGTCCTCTGGTGATCTTTTATATTAATGTTTTTCTTTTCCTTTTAAAGTGACATCATCATTCAATATCAACGGGTGAGTTAATTTTTTTTCTTTTTCTTTTCTTTGTTGAGATGAGACTAGTTAGGGTAAGTGAGGTACATTGAGATTAGGCTTTCGCGTTATAAGAAGGACTTTCGGGTAGTCCCTAAAAGCCCGACCAGGAACTGCTTTGGTGTCCATGGCACACGACCGGGCTCCTAGCCTCACTGACATATGACATCGGATGGGTGCATGTGAATGATGTGGGTCTCCCATGCGCGTGCATGAGCATTACGCTCGCCATGGTTCCACCAGGGTGGTTCCTGGTCGCGTGCGCGAGAATAGAGTAAATTTGAATGCATTTTTTCATTCAATTACGATTTATTTGAAAGAGAAAAAAAAGAACGCAACAAAAAAATTTATCATACGAATTGAGTTTATGCGATTTCAAATTTTTGTACTCGATTATTTGCGAATTCGACGACATAGAGATTACCATGTCGATCGAATGATAAACCTACGGGACCATTGACTTGATTCGGCTGTGCTCCTCCACCATTTCCACCAATAATGACAGTTCCTTGTGTGGCTCCTTTTGGCCAACGCATGATTCGATGATTTCCATGATCAGTCACATAGACAGTACCCAATTGATCGACAACGACTCCATAAGGAGAATGCAATTGTGTAAGACTGCTTCCTTGTCCTTGACCACCAGCTACGACAATGCCTTGTTTTGCACCTTGTTCCCATTTCATTACACGATGATTTCCATAATCGGACACATAAACTGAATGATCTCGATCGACAAATACGTATTGGGGACAAGAGAGTTGATCGAGACGATTTCCTGCTCCATTGCCACCTGCAACCACTGTTCCTTGAGTATCACCAATTTTATATCGTCTCACTTCATGTTTTTCCCAGTCAACGACATAGAGAGAACCATTGTCGTCCATTGACAAACCAGTGCAAGCGATATTGGAAATAATTGTTTCTCCACGAGTACCATTTCGACGAGGCCATCGAACTACTCTTTTATTCCTGTAATCGCTGATGATGAGACTGTCGCTCTCTTTGTCGACAATCACATCTCGTGGGGAGTTTAATTGATTGATTCCATTCCCGTTTCCATTTCCAGCAGCAACTACTGTGCCATTCATTGCACCAGGTTTCCGTTGCACAATACGATGATTCCAGTGATCAGCGACATAAATCGTCTGATCGTCGTCAATGTACAAACCATGTGGGGCATAGAGTTGATTGATTTTACTGGCAGATCGATTTCCTCCAATAACAGTGATACCATTCGTTGACCATGTTGCATTCGGATGAATAGCAGTGGAACTAGCTCGTAATGGTCCTAAAATGAAACAGCAGTATGAAGCAGAAATAAAGATGGATTTCATGTTGCTAGGAAATTTATGAGATAGTTGTAATTAACTGATACGATCAGAAGAAATATCTGATTTTTTGTAAACATATTTATTGAATGTAATTGTTCTACTTTTGCAATAATTAAAATTTCTGTGTTGGCTTTTTCTTTAGAGACAAGATTTTCAAAAAGAAAAAGAGAACGAAATCTATTGCATCGTTTTAGTTTTAATTTTTGTACTATATTAAAACATTCCATTATCAATCTATATGAAAAAATAATTTCAGAAGATTTAAATTATAAATCAATGAAAATGTAGTTCTCTGTGTTGTGTTTTATTGATAAAAAAAGTACGATTTATTCCCTAGACTGAAAGGCTAGGGTCTAGAAACAGAAATTCACTTGTGTCTGTCTGTAACACTTGGTACAAGTGACCATTTTCGTGGTGCAAAAGTACCGCTTTGGTGGTACAGGGGACCATTTATTTGACACAATTGGCCATTTTCATTATACAGATGACCGTTTGTATGGCTCAATTTAGTATTTTCACGGAACAATCAACCATTTCTATGGCACAGTTGACCATTCTTATGACTCAAATGATCATGTCTGTGTCACAATTGGCCATGTCCGTATTAGAAATGGCCATTACTTTGATGTAAATCACCATGTTAGTCGTTATAATTAACTAAAGCATAAACTTTTTCATATACATTAGCATCTTTTAATGTTTGTTGTGGACTATTTGAATACATGTATTGTATGTAATATAGAAAATGTTACAAATATTAATAATTTCTCCTAAACGAATCATTATACAGAATTCATTTTTATTTAAAAATATAAGGACATTTATGTCATCATTCCGTCAGTCTAGGGCCAAGTGAATCGCCATTCAATGTCGATGAACGTTACTTGCTAATACTTATAAAAGTGAAAACAGTATATATGTCAAATATTTGAGTAGTTAATTATTTTATCTATTAGTCTTTGGTTGAGTCAGTGTGAATTTATTTAAATAGTTTATATGTCGAAGTAACTTCGATATGACATACATATATTTTCAGTCAAAAGAATAATGAAGAAATCTTTGCTTAATAAGTGCTTATATTTTATATAATAGTCAAAAATAGAATTCGAAATTCATACTGAAAGTCAAACTTGGGAGTATATCCTCTAGATTAGAATACAATGCAATCATGTCAATAAAATTCAACTTTTTATTTGAATTAAGTTGAATAGTTCGAATTAGAAGATAGCAATGTAATTCACCTCATGGAGATAAAGCTAGAAGTTATAAATATTAATACAAAATTCTTTTTCCTCAATGAGATGAACGCATGTAACTTGATGTACAAATTTATGGTAACTTGTAATATTACATAAGAATTCATGTTTGTTATACCGAATAATTTTTTATCTACAGACAATCATATTTTTATCATCATCTTCGTTTCTTCCAATTATTCAGACATTTGCTTATACACACAAACTCCATTCATTTAAAATAGATACGATCTATTACACTATAAACAAATTTATTAGAATTTTTTTTACGTAACTGTTTCCACACTACTCTAACTTCTGAATTTCTAAATAGATTTTTTTGATTTCATTTACTGATTGATCGATTCTAAATCAAATCATATCATGTTAGTTCTAGTTTATCATTAGGACAAGTACCTTTAAAACTCTATATAGCTATGCATTTGACTCATAAATAAAAATTGCGTATTTCTCTCAGTTTAGATCTAAAATTTGATGAAATCGAGTGTATGATGAAAAATATCTGTTTTTTTTATCAATCTTGTTTTGAATATTCCATTCTATTATTAGTGCGCCAATTTTATTTATGAGAAATTGATGTACGATATCGGTAAGAAGATTTCTGAAAACATTATGAAATTGAACAATTAAAACACTTTATTAAGATGATGGTCTACGTTGTGCATCAGCACAATTTACACTGAGGAAAAAAATGTGTTTTATTTTAAGTTCATTTTTTCACATATCATTTGTTTTTAATAAATTCGTCTTTTAATTCTTTACAAAAGTTGTTAAATGAACCATTTTAATGTCATTTTTCCGTTACATGTTTTGGCTTTCTCAGTTTTACATATTTTGATAAGTAATAAAACATGTAATTATATAATGACTATTCGTAGGAAAACAATGATTTTTTCTACTTATTAAACATGTTTTCATCTGTCCCATAGTATTTATATAAATGAAGAGAGCTGAACAGGATATATACTTCGTCACAAATATCGAAAAAATTTTTTACTTAAGGTCATTTTTTGGCACGTATCCATACTTTAAATCAAACTTATAATTCTGTGATATGTGCAATTCAATAGTGAATTAAATCAGCAAGAAAAAAATACACATAACCTTATTGATTTATTTTTTGTCAATCAATGCTTCTTTGAGAATTAGAAAATAATCTTTGAAAACTTTCTAGGGAATAAACAAAAGAAAGATATTTATGTACATATGAGAATGACTCGCTTTTTTTTTCAATGATATCCGAAATTTTATGTGATGTTAGAATTTTACTTAGTTAAGTCGATATGCCCTTTTCATCGATGTATAGAAATATTGCATTACGTGCATTCTACTTTCATGTTATACTTATTAACTTAAGGAAATATTTAACTATCTACGTTTTCAATGTTATAATTGTTCGCATAAGATATTTTGTTATGTTAGTGCTCTAACTCTTGTTATTATGCATGTCTCATTGTAAAAAAAGAAAGCCTATCTGACTTTGTTGCCGAAAAGACCAAAATATTTTCCATAATTCTGAGAATTGAAACAGAAATTCACTGAGATAGAATATACTAGTAGTCCAGACAAATAAATATAACTGAGAAGGTAATAGAATCAAATGTATCCAAATTTAGATTAATTCTTCTAAAAATTTCTGTAGACTTCGTATCAAATATCTGAAGTTGGACATACATAAAAAGAATATGTATATACATATATATCTAGCATAGGTAGTATCATAAAAATGTTATTTTTCTAATTATTTTCTCGTGGATTGTAATGTTAAAGTAGTTTGCATTATGATGTTGCATATATTCCTATGTTTAAGATGGTAAATAGTTTTTTTTTCTGGTAATATTATACTCATTCCACGAAGTTATCAACTAAGTGCAATGCATTTTCTTTCTTTTAAAATATCTCAAACAATAAAGTTATATTTTTAAAGTTACTTTTCTTTTCTTGATTGAAATCAATGAATGTAGACAAAGAAACATCACGATTTCTCGCTCATTATGGTCAACGCAAAATTATGTACTCTTACATAAATCAATAGATTCTATTTAATTCAATAAATTTCGTCATTTGGAAAATAATCACAGAAAACAAACATAGTCAATTTTCTGTTGTATTCTGTATTTTCTTTCGACTTAAGCGTACGCATAGCCTTTCTTGCATATCAAAGAAAAAGCAATCGTTGTTGTGTATTTATATATATAAATGAAAACCTAGTTTTAAAGTCAAAATAAATATCAAGTTGCAATATTTTGTAAATAAATGAAAGAATCCTTTATGCTTTCATTATTTCATATACGATGTCAAACTTGAAATTTGAAAACTCAGTTGAAGTCAGATTTCAAGCTTGACACTTCCATTTTTCTTCATAAAATGATAAACAAAGCAAGAGTTATCATATAGTTAACATGAAGTTTTTCCAGATAATATGTATCAAAACAGAATAATATACCTATAAAATGAAAGTGCGATTGTTACATTGAAAGATCTTAGAATTCAATTTAACGAAAAATCGAGTAATCCCTTTTATTCAACCTATTTGCGCTATGCATAGCCTTTTATAAGAATACCAATATAACAGTGTTGCCACCTTTTGAAGTCCGAAAAGCAGAAAATAACAGAAATTTTACAATCAAAAACCAGAAAAAAACCAGAAACTATGTTTATGATATGAAACTGGTTTTAAATATTTGTTTTACTGTACTAATTAACAATTTTCTCATCGAATTTTGGTTTTCACTGCGTAACATTAGGAAAGATAACCAACTAACAAATAAACAGAATCTTTGAACATGTTTTCTTTTTTTAAAGTGCATTCTTCATCTGATTTAAGAATTTTCGATAAATTTTGCTTGCCTAATTAGTATGCCTCCATTTTAGTATATGAAAAGGAGAAATTCAAGCCAATCGTTGCTTAAATCATAAGATTTCATAACTTTTTATGTTTCTGAGTGTTCATAAGATTACCAATGTTAGCTTTTTAGTGTGATGTTCGGAAAAATATTGATAACCAACAATTAATGTTGACTGAGATGGACTTATTGTATATTCTTTTAAAAATCATTAATATTCGACGACTTTGAGCTATTCTCTGCTTAAGACACTTCTATAGGATTTCTTTTTTTTCTGATTTAACTCTTTATGGCATATTTGTTTGTTCAGCAACTACAACTACTTCGTGAATACCTTGTTTGCTAGTCTTGCTATCATTATCATCTAGAACTATTTTTTTTCTGTTCCTTTGTCCTCAGAAATCATATTAATGCTTCCTGTTTCGTTGAATGAATAAACAAGAGAATGTATATATTGATGTATATAAATTATATGAATAATAAAAAATACGATAAAAAAACTATAGGTAAAAAATTGATTAAGAAGCAAAAATATTCATTGTAAGTTGTTTGTGGTCAGTAGAAAATAAAAGTCATTTGTATAAAATAGAAAGAATTAGAATAGAACACAAAAATCAGTAGCTTTTGATACGGTTTTTATCTATTTATGAAAATGAAGACCTTCGAGATGAAAAGTGTTGATTAGAATTATAAATTATGCAGTATTAGAAAAAAGCAGAAAAATCTTCAAAAAGAAGAATTTTTCTGCTAAAAGCAGAAGAGGTGGCAACTCTGCAATGTAATCTTAGAAAGAATCAATATTTGAATTCAGATATTAGAAATCCTCATATCCAACAAAAATCATAAGTTTTTGAT